TTGTGTGTTGGCTAGTGTATTATTCTAATGATTATTTTGGTAGGCGTGGTTTTGTTAATGTACTTATTATTTATTTAGTTTATTATTTATTTGTTTGAATTAGTTTATTTTACTTGTTTTCGTTAATTCATTTTTATTTTATTTATTTATTTTCATTTATTCATGTTCGTTTTTAGTTTTCGATTTTTAAGTGACGTAGTAAAAAATTTTTTTCGTGTCTGCATTTTGAGATGAGTTCTGATCGTTTATTTAATAGTTTGCTTAGGTCTGGGAAGGTAATTATATCTATTTTTTCTTCCAGGCAGAGTTTACAGTTTTTTTTTAATCATATATATATATATATATGTATTCAAGTATAGGATTTGTGTATACGGAATAAATTACAATAACCAACAAATACTGTTCTTAAAATAGTGCTCAATACAGAGTAGAGAAAATATGATTATTTATTAGAAAATTATAACATAAATATATATATAATTATAACATATTTATGTTATATATAATTATAATATTTATGTTATTATTTTCGATATATATATATATATATATATATATATATATATATATATATATATATATATATATATATATATATATATATATATATATATATATATATATATATATATATATATATAATGATAACACACACCCACAGCAATACACACGCTTACACATATCATACCCACTCACTCTCTAAGAACCAAATAACACACGCACAAACACTAAACAGAGACACATCCCCTCACCAGGACCAATAAAACTGTCAAACTGACCAGAGAATTCAGAGCAACATGTATCTATCCAGCTCTTATCTCAAATAACAACTTAAAAGAGACTGTTTGACCAACACAAGGATTGTTAAAAGATTCATGTTAAAAAGATAAAAAAATAAAAAAACAAATGAAAACTACAGACAAAAGTTCATTTTCTCCATCAAGACATTCATTTCTGTAGTTTAGTGCTACCAGCAAGCAGAAATATTTCTCCTCCCGATGATGGCCATTTTGGTCGAAACTAGTCGATGAATCTAAATGGAATAATAATAAAAAAACGAAAGAATATTAATCTACAGTGTATCTAAAGATTTTAATTTTTTAATTTTTTTATTGTTCAAAATATATATATATATACATATATATATATAGGAATAAAGTCAATTTACTGACGCGTTTCATCCTCTGAAAGACTATATCAAGCCAAATGTAAGGACTTTCTTTTGCAACATGTATTTATAAACAGAAATAAAAATATAGCTAGGTTTTCAATATTTTCAAATGTAAGAACACTCATAAATACTATTAGGTTAACTATTAAAGTCAAGGTAATCTATAGAGGGTACTAAATGTTGCAACTTAATCTTATACGGTGCATGTTTGTTTGTGTTTGCGCGTGTGCGTGTCCAAGCAACTACTTCGCTCCCACTGGTTCGATTTCAATGATTCATAGCTCGTTCAAAAGCCCAAGAAAAGTTAGGCAAAGGGAACGATTTTCGTTGAGCTCACATTCAGGGTTTCTCTGCTTGAATATTTTTATTTTTTTTTAAAGTAATGATCTCTTCTCTTTGTTCAAATGGAAGTTCACGTGTTTTAGGCATTTTGTTGAGTAAAAAGTTTTGATCCGAAAGAAAGTTGCAAAATTAGGGTTTTAATTTGAACAAAATAAGAATAACAGATTTCTCTACTGGGCAAGGTACATTGGCAGCAGAAGTAAAACTGGTAGTATCTAGCAAGCAGTAATTCAAAGCAATATAGTCGAATGTGAATTCAAGTGGTGATATAAAGTAACTTTTGGAGAACGTTTTATTCATGCTCAGTAGTAAAGAAGAAAAACGCCTTCAAATCAATTTTTCAAAAGATATTTGGTTATACTAAGGTCACAGTTACTGAGAAAGACTTATATTTAATATAATAAATAAAACCATTGTGGTGCTTAACTTGTTTGATTAAAAATAACACTTTTAGGATGAGAAATAAAAATTTGTGAGGGTGACCAAATACGTTTGTCCGGTAAATATATATATATATATATATATATATATATATATATATATATTACATGAATCATTCACACGAAAAACACATATAGAAGTTAATGATATAAATGGCGAGAATAAATCTTCGCAAACAAATTTAATAAAGTACATTAACCCCGAACCTGTAGATGAATGTTATGATCCCTGTTTATAAATTCCAGTTGCATAAGGTTTTTTTTTAGACGAAAGCTTGTAAAAAACTAAAAACGACGTTATGCAACTGGATTTTATAAACAGGGATCATAACATTCATATACAGTTTCGGGGTTAATGTACTTTATTAAATTTGTTTGCGAAGATGTATTCTCGCCATTTATATCATTAACTTCTATATCTGTTTTTTGTATGAATGATTCATGTAATGTAAATTGAACTGCACCACATACTTGATATCTATCTATCTATCTATCTATCTATCTATCTATATATATATATATATATATATATATATATATAAACATACAGGGTGCGATGGATAAATTGTCTAAATTACCCAAAAATGAAAATAACACAGGCATCTCATTTTTAACAAATATATATTTACCAAAATTACACAAAAATATCTTGAAATACTAAAGAGTAAATTTATTCAATAAAATCGCCATTGGCTTCAATCACGGCCTCCAGACGACTTCGGAATCTCATGCAGCTCTGCTGAACGGTCTCCTTGTTTAAGTTGATGAATACTGCCATAATCCTTGCCTTCAGTTCATCTTTGGTGTTACAAAGAGTTTTGTTAGTCTCTCGCTTAACTTCGCTCCACACATAATAACCAGGGGGGTGCAGTCTGGGGAGTTAGGTGACCAGATATAAGAGGTGATGTGGTTGCAGAAATTGTTTGACAGCCGTGACTGGTTTCTACTGCTTGTGTGGCTTGGACAAGAGTCATGTTGCCAGATATAGGGTATTCCTGCAGCCACTTTCTTGACCGAAACAAGCACTACCTCTTCAAGGCACTTGATGTAAGCCTCCATGTTGAGCCTGGGGCCCTGGGGGAATGAAGGCATAACGTTGTCAACACTAGTGATCACTCCAAACACAATGATGTTGACTGGATATATCATCCAACTCTTTCCGAATCCTCCGCAATGTCCTCAGATTGACACCCAAACACTCTTAAATGTTCGTATTAGAGTTTCCGGTGCGAATGCCAAGCAGTACACCTGGCCGTTTCCAAATTTCTGGTGGAATGAATTGCGGTGCCCAATTAACCCTATTATGCTGTGCAGTCGACAAAATAAAAAAACAACGCGCATGCGGGAAATAAAAAAAAATAAAATGTCGACAATTTACCGATCGCAACTGGTTATATATATTTAATCCTAAAGAGCCAGGAACTATCTAGGTTTCACGAACGAATCTTCAGGGTAATCTGGCCAGATTACCCTGAAGATTTGTTAGATAAAGGCTGATAAACAGACAAAAGCATACAGGCCACATATATTTTAATAATATTTAAATATGAAACTATGAAAAGTCTGGAATGCAGCTTTGGTGGTTAATGGAAGTAATTCGCTGCGAAGAATGAAATGTGTTTCCATCTGAATGAGTTTCGAGCCCAAACCTCCTGCTGCTATCTTAGCGAACTGTAGACACAAACACATACAGAGACACGTTTGATCAGTTAGACATAAGTATATACTTTTATATGCGCTCGCATCAGATACATGTGTATGTGTGTGTTTGTGTGTGTGTGTGTGTATACCCGCATATGTGAAGTAGAAATTCTTTACTAAGATAAAAAATGGCACTAATTTGTTTACATCTGTGGCAGATATTTCATGCCATAATTGATGCCTGTAATTATGTCAACCTATAATCATATCTATCTATCTATCTATCTGTCTATCTATCTATCTATCTATCTATGTCTGTATGCTTTTATCTATCTATCTATCTATGGCACTATGCTTTTATCTATCTATCTATCTATGGCAGTATGCTTTTATCTATCTATTTATCTCTCTCTCTCTCTCTCTCTATCTTTCTCTATCTATGGCAGTATGCTTCTATCTATCTATCTATGGCTGTATGCTTTTATGTATGTATCTATCTATCTATCTATCTATGGCAGTATACTTTCATATATCTATCTATGGCACTATGCTTTTATCTATCTATAACAGTATATGTTTTATCTATCTATCTATCTATCTATCTATCTATCTATCTATCTATGGCAGTATGCTTTTATCTATCTATTTATCTCTCTCTCTCTCTCTCTCTCTCTCTCTCTCTCTATCTATCTATCTATGGCAGTATGCTTCTATCTCTCTCTCTGTTTATAGTTATCTATCTGTCTCAGTTATGTTTCTATCTATCTCAATCTATTTTTTCTGTTGGATCTATACATGAGTAGCTTCTATTAATATATCTACCTTCTAATTATGTAAAAATTCATACATACAGTCGAACAATTTCAGCTTTACTTCATAAGTTAACATCTGAATTTCTGATTCCTGAAAATAAATCCAATTCTACAATCAAGTATCCTGAATAGTGGATGCAATCTCACTGAACCTCTGAGTATAGACAAGATAAGCGAACATTTAATTTTATTTATTGCTGTGCAACTTATGCGGCAATAATTAAGAATTTTTTGCTTTTATATATTTCACACTGTAATGTCTTGCCCCTTGAGAGAAAAACATTTAAATATTTTTTTTAAATCCCGCAAACTAGTAAACCAAGAATTTTTTTTAGGTTTATTGATTGATTTGTTTTTTATGGATTATCAACTGCTTGCAGATTATTTAAAGCCAGGGAATATTTTTAGATTGAAAGAATTTTCATGAGATAATAATAATTTACTGAGACAAGCCCTACGAATTAACCCATAGCTAAGGGAGAAGAAATGCATATATACCCTTGCCAAAACTTACGCGTAAGTGAATATAACAAACCAGACTGGAATTGGAACTCAGATCTCTGATTTTCCAATTCCAAACTGTTATCTATTCAGGCTTACAGCATCTGGTATTCCCAAGCAGTCACTCATCTAAGTACTGAACAGGCCCAGCGTTGCTTAACTACGGTGATCGTACGAGAATCGGTATTTCTTCTGAGGTTTAAAACTCGGAATAGCAACTAACTCTTAAAGCCCGTACTTTTCAGTCTTGTACGCATAGAAATCGCAATGTACTTCCGTTTCATACACATAAAATATGTTTAGCACCCTTTTATTAAGGCTTATTTTATTGAGAGCTTTCTAGATGTTTTGCAATGTCAACACTCCTTTTTCAAATATTTTTTTTGTCATATTACTTATTTACCTAGCTAAATATAGAATTCATAATGCATTAAAAAAAAATAAATATATATATAATTCTCCGTTCTAAGCTAGCTTCCTCTTTGCCGAAGAGATTCCAGTATTCACATGTCTGGCCTTGGTGTTTACATCCGGGATAATCTTTCAATAGTAAGGAATTGTCACTCGAATCTCCAGGCAAATCTTTCACGTGCTTTCGACTTTCGTTATTAAACACTGTTAGTTCTCTCCTTTTTCCTTTAACGCTCCTTCCTCTTCCCAGGAGTATATTAGATGAAATTTCTGACAATATAAAAACGGTACTCTCTCTTCATTCATCTGTGAACATTTTTATTGTAATGCACATCACGAGACGTGGCTTAGACATTCTAATGTTTATTGATGTTGTGACTTTCAATTTTTCCATTATCCAGTTCGTTACTCAAGTCGTGGATTTCTCTACCCGTAGATTTGTCCCTTACCCTCTCTCCTAACTCTTAACGAGCTACGCAACACTGTCCTCTTGGCAACTCGGATCTCTCTGTACTATCTATTGATATTTCGTTCCAATCATCTATTAGACAGGAACCTCCTATTTATCCCACCTCTTTTTGTTACCAGCATCCTGATTAGGGTTCACTCCGTGACCTTCTTTGAGACGTTCCTTGGATTAATATTTTTAATCTTTCTATTGAGAATTGCGCCATTGCTGTTTCTTCTTGAGCCAAAGCCGGCATAGATGCTTCTATTCCTTCTCGGAAATACCAGATGAAACCTTAATCTTTTCCATGGTTCACGCCAGCATGTTCTGTCGCTACAGCCAACAGGAACCACTATTTCCGGCTATACCAGCGTGACAGTTATGATCACAACAGCATCCATAAATTGTACAGAAATGTCTTCAGAAATATATGACCGCTGTGTGAGTGCACGTAATAAATGTAAACGTGTCATCGAAAGAGTTACGTCTTTGTTTGCTGAGAGAATGAGGCATCGTATTGCATCTAACACCTTTGGCTCTTGTGACTACTGGCTGCTCTGTAATAGTGTATTTAATAATAGTAAGATTTATATTCCTCCTCTCTTCAATTAGTTTGAGATGTTAACATATTCTACTGGTAAAGCTGAATGTTCCGCCCGTAAGTTCTCTTGCTTCATCTAGAATATACTCGACTAACATTCTACAGAACTAAATCTCTGTTGAGTGATATACATACAACCTCTTCTATGATTTCAGTTAAAATATCTAACCTGGATCCCAACAAAGCATGTGGACCTAACGGTATGCCTGTAATAATCCTTAAGAATGATGCTACCGAACTGGCTCTTATTCTCTCTAAACTGTATAATAAATATCTTATCTGTTGTTCCAGTATTCAGGTGAATCGTCCGACCCTTCCAGCTATCGGTCTATGAGACTAACTACCTCTACTTTGGTAAACAGCTAGAGGCTCTAATCAATGCTGAATTAGTTAAGCATCTTACATTACAGAGACTTCTTTCAGTAATATAGCTTTCGTTTCTTTCTGTTGATGTATTGACGACCATTACGGAAAGAGTCTAAGCTTTAAATAAGAATGGTGAAGCTGGACATCTCGAAAGCCTTCGACACGGTTTGGTATAAAGGTCGTCTTTCTCATCAAATTGTCAAGTGAAAATTTTCCTGAACGGCCACTCTTCTATATCCTTTTTCTACTAATGCAGGTGTACCCAGGGCTCTATCATCAGGCCTACTTTGTTTTTAATTTTCATTAACAACCTTCCCAATGGCGTCAACTTTGAACTTTTATACAACCATTTACTCTTGTCTCGATAATAAGTCTTATCAGTTCGATAAGGTCAAAATGGCGGCTGATGTAAAAAAAAAAGCCTCAGTTTCAAAGAATGGTTTGTTAATTTTAACGCTTCCAAAAAATACTTTTTATTAATCATATGAGATGCCCCTTTCTGCCTTCTTTTAACATGAATGATGCCAACCTCTAAGGGAGAGATTCATTGTGCCTTCTCGGCCTAACATTCTCGGCAGACATGAAATGGAAAGACTATATTGAATCCATTGCTAGGTCAGCTGATAAGAAAGTTGTTTCACTGTGTCCGTGCTAGACCTTTTTTCTTAACTCTACCATTCGTCCATGCTATGAATATTGCTGCCACACAGGATCTGGTTCTCCTGCTATATATAGAGATTCTTGATAAAATCCAAAGAAGAATCAGCAATATTATTGGTCAACCTGTCGTCTCGGTTTCAGTCACTTTCCCATCGCCGTAAAGTTGTTCCCCTCTGCCTTTTCTATAAATAATTTTATGGTAATTGTTCATATGAGCTCTTCGCTAAGGTACGTAGATTTTATGAATTTAACAGCACATTTATTTCTACTCAATATCCTTTAGAATAATTCTAAACCCAACCGTTACTGCCCTCTAAAATACCCCTTAAAACAAAACAATACACTACCTACAATGCATCACTGATCTGTAGATATAAACAACAGCAAAAACACAGCACATATGGTTTGACATTTGCATTCAAGCATGAAACAGACTGTCGCCTCTGGTTGTTGACTTCAATGTCTACTTTTATATTTACATACGCTCTATCCCCGATGTTGAGCAATTTATTCCATAAATATAGCAGACCTTGAAACTATATTTTATCATTATTTACAGTATTTACATCGTTCTTACAGTTCATCTTCGTTGCCATAATTAACGATGTTTTGGCCGTTGTACTCTGGGGCTTTCTTCAGGACAGTTGAGTTAAAGAAAGATAACTGATACTGAATCATCCGGAAGAGTCATGGCACGTGAAAGTAGAACAATCTAATCCGGTGGACGAAATAAATGGTTCAGTTCGAAATTTCATTCACCTGAAGAAGGCAGTAGCGTACAACGATCGAAACGTCGTGAATATAGCAACAAAGATGAGGACAATAATCCGAACAATGTAAATAGTGTAAATAATTACAATATCTCATCACAGAAATATAGACAGATATATTTTATCATCTCTCTCTTTCATATATATATATATATATATATATATATATATATATATATATATATGTCCTAAGCAACTATAAAAATTTAGAAAACGCTAAAATTCATATTGTCAACGGAAAATTACGTCAAGTACTTTCCCGTGTAGAAATATTGTTTTTTATTTTTGTGTTGACGGATTCAACCGTTTTCTTTTGATTTCTTGATATAGTTGTGTACGTTTGTTTGAGAGGGGAATAAATCTGTTAGCATAGGTTATAGTGGGAAAAAACCTGGGTATAGATTAATACACTATAGCAAGGTAGAATTTACTGCTAACCGAACGCTCCTCTGTGGTCAAATCGGTTAAGGCACGTCAAGCTAAATGACGGTTCCGTATTTGATACAGGTTTGAATCCTGTCGGAGGACGAATATTTTCTATGAAAATTTCTAGGACATTCAGGCCGGTAAATGTTGTTTAATAATGTTTATTATAAACAGAGTATTTACTTTATTATTTGTATCTATAAAAAAAGAATGTATAAACACAAAAATGTCTTAAAATAATTGTCGGACGTTGTCCACATCAATATATATATATATATATATATATATATATATATGATAGGATAAGGAATATATAAGATGCGTTTATAAATCTAACATATTTCGCTTTTATTAAAGCTTCATCTGAGAATGAGAGATGGGAAATATTTCCAATGAAGCTTTAATGGAAGCGAAACATGTTAGATTTATAAACATTTCCTATTTGTTCCTCATCTTATCATTCTGTCGGATTCCGATATATATTTGATCTCTCTCTCTCTCTCGCTCTCTCTTTATATATATATATATATATATATATATATATATATATATATATATATATGTATTAGGAATCCGGAAGTAGTAGATCGAAGCTAAATCGGATGAAGCAAAAAGACAACACTATAGAGGAGGGAGCGTGAAAAGGCTTTTTTTCATTGGCTGACGTTGACTGACGCATGTCAATAAGAACGGTCGAAATCCTAGCAATATCAGAATGTTCTCTGCAATGTCGCGGTGCGTAATACGACTCTTTCAAGGAGTCGGCTTTACCCGTTCTGAATCAGGTCGGGGTTGGTGTTTGAGCCGATATGATGCAAAACCCGAAATCGGCGACGAGGACAGTGTATAACTGAAGACCACAACTAATGCATCTGAAATGTATTATGCAACTCTCTCTCTCTCTCTCTCTATATATATATATATATATATATATATATATATATAACGTCATCCACAGACTGTTTCGCTGTTTCACAGCTCATCAGTGTGGCTAGACATCCGGTTGCCTCTAGCTAGGATCGAAACCCGACTGAATTGGTGTCGGTCGGAGATTCTAACCATTAAGCCGTCGGCGCACGGTAGGGGTGAAAGTGAATTTTTTAGCGTATTTATTTTTAGAAATACTCCCAGTGACCGACAGTGACTCAATTCGCATCTGCGAAGAGTCTCGCTATATAGCTATAAATAGTCAGTTTATCAACCCACACCTCGTCCCCAGAGAGCTCAACTGAAATTGATATTTCAGAAGCCAATGATTTTTGTGACACATTACTTATCATTTTTTTTATTAGTCCGGCCAAATATCTCCAGAAAGTATAAAAAAAGAAGTAATTGGTTGATAAAGTTAATAATTAAAGAAAGACTAAAAGACTAATTAATTACATTAAATGTCGTGACATAATACTTTGGAAAGCATGACCCGAAACGAATATAGCCGAATTATTGTATTCTCATCAACGGTAATGCAGTTTAATTTTGACTGATCTTGTTTAGTGAACATCAAGTGTTTGTCCCA